CGAAGCTGGACAGGTCCTCTTGTTCGGGTTCATCGTTAGAGAATGATAAGCTGCTGCTTTGGTGCTCCAGCTTTCAACTGTCTGACGCCTTTTGCACCCTGCATCCACGCAAGAGAGCATACAAATTTTATGCTCATTCGCACCGCTGCAGCACTCGCATTGATCGCGCTTTAGCATCATAGTTATTACTAACTCACCTGGCGATTGCTTCTCATGACAAGCCAGTTGACCCGATTTCAGACCACGGGTATGCGATTAAGGTGGCTTTCCGTCTCGATGCCAAAGTTTGCTCCGGTCTTGGCATCTGGAGACTACACGCGTCGATGGTGCATAGACCGGGGGTGCGGAAAATCATTGACGCAACGGTTCGATGAACACCGGTTAAGGATGGAAGCAGCTTTGACCTCCTCATTGCTCGCTTGGGTGCCGGTCTTCGTTCCTATGCAAGGGAAGAAAGCAAGAGAGTTAAGGCAACGATATCACGTCTTGCTAATGATGTAGCAAGGCTGAAGCATGAGTGGATGGGGGACCCGGAGTGTACTATCAAGCGTGCACTGCTGGAGGCAAGAGAGTCGCAGCTAAAAGCATACCAGTTGGCGTGGAAAGAGAGCTTGCATCTGCAGGCTGGTCTGACAGATGAGATGACTGGCGAAATTGCATCGAAACATCTGTCAGCCAGGGTTCACGCGAGAAAAGCCCGCATGCAAAAAACGGAGCTGAAGGAGGGAAGTTCGTCTGTTACGGGTGTGAAGCAGATCTTGGCGGCTGCCTCAGAGTATTTCCGGAAAATCTTCGGCAAGGACTGTCGAACAGACTTCACGTCTTGGGATTTCAGTCCGTCGTAGTGTCTGGGTAAATAAGCAGCAGTGGCGTTAACGGCGGAATGGACGGAACAGGAGATAAAAGTAGCTTTTGCAGCGATGGCTAAAAGCAAAGTACCTGAAGGGGACGAGCTCCCGAAGGAGCTCTTCGAGGCTCACTGGGACTTGCAGGGAGAGAGCTTCATGGTGATGGCGAAGAGCTTTGAGAAAACTACTTTCCTCCCAACGGAGCTCAAGGAAGCGGTTACGATCCTGTTACACATAAAGGAGATCGGGATCAGTTGGACAACTACAGACCGATCACCTTTTTGAATTTGGCGGACCAGATGAAATCCGTACTGCACCAAGTCATCTCGCCGGAGCAGTATGGTTTCATTCCGGGGAGGCGGCTCTCTGACGCAGTGGTGCTGGTAGCTGACGTCATTGATGCGGCAAACAACGGCAATAAAGACTGGTACCTGTTGTTGATAGACTTCAAAAAGGCTTTTGATTTGGTGTCGAGAAATTTCTTGTTCGAGGTGCTCCGGAAGAAGGGCTTCCCGGATCGCTTCGTTGGCTGGATAGAAGGCCTGCACGAGAACACAACAACAAAACTCCTGGTCAATGGCTGGCTTGGGGATGGACTGGAAGTGGCCTTGGGTGTCAGGCAAGGATGCCCACTTGCGCCTTACCTTTTTCTTTGGGCGGTGGAGCCCTTGGCCCAGGCGGTGGAAAGAGAACGGTTGGGGCTCAAGAAGGATGAGCAGCGGCTGGGTTACCTGGGTTACGCTGATGACACCACGCTAGTCTTGCAGGGGGGAGAGCAGATAGCTAAGGTAGAGGAAATCTTGGATAAGTTTGAGAAAGCATCCGGTCTCGCGACCAACAAAGGAAAGTCGGTCGTGTTGCCACTGGGAGCCAATCTGGGGGCAGTTGCGGATGGGTCGGCAGAGTTCAAGTGGGCAGGGGCTGACAACGTTGAGCGCCTGTTGGGGGTATAGGTGTCGCCATCCGGAAGCGGTGTGAAAACATGGGAGAAGGCATTGGAGCGGATCGCTGAGAAACTGATTAAGTGGCAGCAGAAATATTTGACAACCACGGCGCGGGCGACAGTAGTGAATTGCTACATCATACCGGTCATCGCGTTTCAAGCACAAATTTACCCGCCGTCGGCTGATGTCTGGGAAGACCTCATTCGGCTTCTGCACAGCTTCACGTCTGGAAACAGAGTGCCAGCGGCGAAGGGTTTTAGACTATGGAGCAAAGAGCTGCTGTACACAACAAGGGAGATGGGAGGAATTGGTGTGACAGATCCTGAGATCATTATCTCCTGCCTTGCGGCGAGGAGGGTTGGCCTTTTTCTCATGGAAAGAGATGCGCTGAAGAAGGAGCTGGTGGAGTTAGCGGCTGAGCTTCCGCTCGGGGCGGATTCATTTGAGGCTCATGAGAAGCTGTTAAAACATTGGGAAGGGCGTAGCTTGCGCTGGAAGCAGATTTGCGAATGCCTCTCGCGTTCACCGCTGGGCACGAGGGCGGCAGCATGTACGAGGGAAGAGATTCTGCAGGAAAGAGTGGTTTTCAATAACAACATCCTGCTACGGGGTACCACACCAATCCGCGGCCAGAAGGCTACCAAGGAGCTGTCAGATCTCAGACTAGGGAGAGAGAGGAGACGGGTGATCTAGTGCAGAAATCCATGGCGGCCCTTTCGGCGGAGGTAGGAGGTAGTGGTGCTGCGAAGTTGGCGCTGAAGGCTCTGGGCTGCCTGCCTGGGGTTTCCAACTGTGCTCTCTCGCTCGGCTAACTCCCCTCCGCTGGTGCTGATTTTGGAAGGGGGGCAGGTTGCCCCCATGAAGCAGTTGAAAGAAGGATGGAAGGGTGCCCGAAAGGAATCGTACAAGCGGGCGAAATGGGCGGCAAGATGGGGGGAAAGCATCAACTGGAAGGCGGTTGTGCGCACCCGGGACTCTCTAGCTGTTCCTAGCCGTCCGCAGGACGTCCTTCTCAGGATCCACGGCTTGAATCTCCAAGTTGGGGAGCGCCTTGCTTTTCTTAGAAGTAAGCCCGTCTGCCCGTATTGCGGTGACCCGGAGACGTTGGAACACTATCTGGTACTCTGCCCAAGAATACAAGCGATTTTCACCGCTCTCCGGCGCGCTCTGCGCGTGCTCAACCTCGGACGAATAACGGACTCGCTCGGTGACCTTCTGTTCTGAGACATGGGAACCAGCTCAGCTTTCCCGGAGATGACGCTAACTTCAATTGCAATGCACCAATTGTGGGTCAAGCGGTGCGATGCTATATTCCGAAAGCAGAAATTCCGCACGCAACGTGTCTTGCAGAGGATAGAGCTGGCCTTTCGACATCATGTGAAGTTGTACACCCACAAATTTGGTTCGACGTGGCGAAAACAAAGGCGGCGAGATTCCTCGGAGGAGTGGAACATGTTGAAGAGGATCAAGTTGGATGGCAACAGTTTGAAGTGGACAAACATTTTTGCTGCTCTGTGGTCGGCGCGGAGGGCAAGGCCCACCAGGACTTAAGATGCTTCATCTGGAGGCAGAGGTTTCACCTCAAACTCCTCACGCACGGTTATGACCGTCTTTGTCTGTATATGCTTGTCCATGCCGGTGTATACATTCAATTATTATTATAAAAAAAAAAAGTAACATTGTTGTGTAGTCATCTTCGGGGTAGGCGCAAAGGTCTGAAAGAAGTCAACTCCCTCTCGCTGACTGAAGCCTCTAGCCACATAGCACGCCTTGAAGACCGGAGGAGATCCCAATGGCCACTTCATCCTGAAGATCCACAAGGGGGGGGGGACCTCGTCTATGTAGGTGCCTGTGGATCTGTAGGAGGCCATCTCTGAGTCTATGGCAGCTCTTCATTGAGAGGCCCAAGTCCCTGACAATGCCTCAGCGTAAGTGCGAGGAGTCGGTATGTCAAGGGCGCCGGGGTCTCCCTCAAGGGCGAGCAGCATGGCACAGAGATGAGGGGAAATGGCTGCCAGCTCCAGCTCAAACTGCCTGTCCTCTAGGGCGTCACAGCCAAGGGCAGACTCACCTTCAATGGCCAGAGGACTGGTAGGAGGAGCAGCCATGATACGAGTGGCGTAGTCAAGGCGGCAAGTAGCGGCGAACTCAGTGACAGCGACAGTAAGGGTGGAGACAGAGGAGAGAGAGGCACGAGGGTCCGTACCAAGAGAGGCGAGAACACGAGAGATAACAGGATGGTACGTGCGATAGTAGTCAGTGACAGGAGTAGAGAGGGAAGCGGTGAGGGCTGACTCATGAGGAGAAGGAAGCAATGACTAAGACGAACGAGGCGGACTAGGATGGAAGAGGACAGTACGAAGATCAGTGGCAGGGACAGGGGACGAGGGATGAGCATGAGGAGAGTGAGAACCCCAAGTGTGAGAAAGAGGAGGGGACAGCGGAGGCTAAGAACAGTGGAAAACAGCTGGGGCGGGGTCAGGCGGAGAAAACATGGGACCGTAGGCAGGAGGAGAGAGGAGAAGGGGAGGCGAGACCAAGGGCTTGAAGTCCAGAGACAGGAGGCATAGGAGGCCGCTGCTGCTGCTGCTCCGGCTGCTGCGACCGCTACTCCTGCGGCTGCTGCTCCTGCTGCGGCTGCTGCAATTCCTGCTCCTGCTGCAGCGGCTCCGGCTCCTGCTGCGGCTGCTCCGGCAGTGGCTGCTCCTGAGGTTAATCTTCCTGCAGTAGTACGTAACTGATTCGACTGTCGAAGCTGAGAGAGAGGCTCAGCAACAGTTACTAGGGCGTGCGCGTCGCAGGTGGTGGTCGCAGCAGTGTTGTTGGAGAGTTGCGACGACAGCCTCCAGCTGTTGCGATTGCTGTTGCGGCACTTGCTGCTGCGACTGCTGTTGCGTCGGCTGCGACGGGAACACCTGCGACGCCTGTCGCGGGAACACAACTCGTCGCGCGTGGGCGAGCCACGGGTGTGACATCACACCATCGATGTCATATTGCGCGCTCCTCGATGGGAGAAAACAGGGGAAGGAGAGGGGTGTGGGGGAGGGGGGAGCCGAGCAGACGAGGCACCACCATATGCCAGGCCCCTGACAGTCTTATTGTATGCTTGACATCGGGGAACAAAGGGAGGGAGGAGAGGGGAGTGGGAGTGGGGGGGGGGGGGAGGGGAGGTGACGATGTAAACCCAAATGCCAGGCCCCTGCCAGTCTTATCGTGCACCTGGTGGGGAACGAAGGGAGGAAGGAGAGGGGAGTGGGGGTGGGGGAGGGAGGATGATAGGAGTAGCAGGGGAAAGGGAGGATGACTGGGGTAGCAGGGGGTAGGGAGGATGACTGGGGTAGCAGGGGGAAGGGAGGATGACAGGGGTAGCAGGGTGGAAGGGAGGATGACAGGGGTAGCAGGGGGGAGGGAGGATGACTGGGGTAGCAGGGGGAAGAGAGGATGCCAAGGGAATCAGGGGCAAGAGAGGATGACAGGGGAGGCAGGGGGAAGGGAGGAAGACGTGGTTCCCACAAAAAGGCGTGTTTGGAGCGGAGGGCATGCACGGTCAAAAAGGCATCGGCCCTGGGGGAGTGGGGAAATTTTCAAAGGGGAAGTTGGGGATTGGACAGGGGGAAGTGGGGGAAAGGCTAGGAGGAGTGTGGGGAGGGACGAGGTGGAGTGGGGGAAAGAGAGGGTAGGAGTGGGGGAAAGGGAGGGTGTTAGTAGGGGAGAGAGCGGGTGATGGTGCGGGACAGGGGGGTGCATTGGGGACGGGGAGGGTTAGCGTTGGGGAAAGGGAGAATTACTGTGTGGGAAAAGGGTGAGGGAGAGTGGGGTATTGGATGGGGGGGATGGAGGAATGGACGGGTGGGAGTGGGGGAAAGGACGGGGGGGAGCAGGTGAAAGAACGGGGGAAGTGGGGGAATGGGCGTTGGGGAGTGGGGGAATGGAAGGGGGGCAGTGGGGGACTGGATGCGGGGGAGAGGAAGGGAAGGGATAAGCGGAAAGGGAAGGGATAAGCGTGAAGGGAAGGGATAAGCGGGAAGGGAAGGGATAAGCGGGAAGGGAAGGGATGAGCGGGAAGGGTAGGGATAAGCGGGAAGGGAAGGTATGAGTGGGAAAAGGAAGGGATATGCGGGGAGTAATAGAGGTTCCTGAACAGGGGACGAAAGGGAAGGGAGTGGAAACTAAGGGTGCTGAGGGAAATGGTCCATTAGACAGACAGAAGGGGAATGGATGGGAAGGGAGGCGAATGAAAGGAAGGGTGGCGAAGGGAATGGAAGAGGAGTCAAAGTCACGGTACAGGAAGGGAAGGGAAGGAGGAGTTAGGAAAGGAAGCTAAGGGAAGCTTTAGCAAGGGAAGGCAAGAGAGCGGATTAGGAAGAGAAGGGAAGGGCAGGGAAAGCAAGGGCGTAGCAAGATAGGAAAGGGAAGGGAAGGGAGGTGGACGACGGACAGCAGACACCGGAGGGGTGAGGGGAGGGCAGTGAAGAGGCGTGAAGGAAGCCCAGAGAATCAGCGTGAGCGTCCTACGCACAAACTACGCGTGGTTCTTGTGGATCGCGGTGTGAGGGAAGGGTAACCGTGGTGCGTGCATAGGTTAATCGTGGCGCTAGATATGTTCAGTCAGGGCATAATGACCTCGTAGCACGTTCATACCATACCCGCGTAGGCATACTCGGGAATCGCGGAATGCCAGCTCTCGTACTTATAGGCGTTTTCGAGGCGTGTTGTGTGTCACATCGATTTTGGTGCGATAGGATGCTGTGCATAGTTTCGGACATGTTATCACTTTAAGTGCAACCGTACTTGACGATGGGGCTTTGCCCGCGCTCTGAGCTAAACTTTCTAGCTACGAGTAGTTGGCGTAGGTTACTCCATGGTAATGCAATGAAATGGTGTAGGAAAATTGTCATGAAACAGAACTCCCCGTCCTCCAAGCACGAGCCCCATGCCCGACGTACTGCACAAGTAGCGCAACACCCTCTTGGCGGCCTCCATGTGCTCTGGTCGGTGTCTCCCGGGCGCGACGTAGCGTGCCAGGATGCTAAGAGGGTAGGCAAGGTTAGGTCGGGTGCAGGTCATCGGGCACATGAGGCAGCCCACAAGTTCTGAATACGGACAACTCGGCTCTACAGACTTGTCCAAAGGTGGAGCTGAGAGCGAGTGACCGGTAGGCAGAGGAGTGGACTGTGGCGAGGAGTACCGGAAGCCGAAGCGCTGAAGGACCTGGTGCAACATGTGTGACTGAGTCAGGGTGATGGTGCGCCGTGCTCTGTCCCGGGTGATCTGCAAGCCAAGATAGCTGCGCAGCTCACCTAGGTCAGTGCAGGTGTGTCTCTTCTGCAGCTCCGACTTCACAAGGGCCAGTGCCTCAGTGTCAACAGTGGCAAAAACCAAGTCGTCGACGTACACGAGGATGTAGAACGGCGGAAGCGAAGTGTCGGTGCGCAGAAACAACGACGGGTCAGTAGTCGAAGGAGCAAACCCAAGAGCCGCAAGCGTCATCCTCAGTGTGTCGTGCCACTCAGAGACTCCATTGGGTACCTGCAGGAAACGACCCAGTAAAGCCATGTGGGCGGCGCAGCCAGATCTCCTCGTGCAGGCTGCCCTGTAAGAAAGCTGTGCTGAAGTCAAGAGAGTGAAGCTCGTAGTCACGCTGAGCGGCGACGTGCAGCAACACCCGAAGAGTAGTCATCTTCAGGGTAGGGGAGAAGGTCTGGAAGAAGTCAACTCCTTGTCGCTGACTAAAGCCTCGTGCAACATAATGAGCCTTGAAGGCGTGGCGGAGAACCCGGCGGCTGCTTCACCCTGAAAATCTACATGCCATCGACTATGTTCGCCCCAGGAGGGGGAACTGCGTCGACGTAAGTGTCTGTGGACTTACAGGATGCCATCTCTGCGTCCATGGCTCTCTGCCACTGACAAAAGTAGGGACCCGTAATCGCCTCTGCGTAAGAGCACGGGGTCAGGATATCTGATGCATTCGGGCTCTCTCAGGTGCAAGCAGCATGGACAGGAGATGAGGCACAGTGGCTGCAAGACACTCAAAGTCCTCCTGCGTGTCCTCAAGGACGTCCGTGCGAAGAGCACAGTCAACCTCGACGGACGGAGGATATTCAGACTCATACTCGGCACCAAGACTAGCGGCGTAGTAGAGACGACAGGCGGCAGCAAAGTCAACAAGCTCAGCAACTAGGGCAGACGGAGCAGCGGGCTCAAACGAAGGGTCGGTGGCAACAGTGGCTAGAAGACGTGTGAGAGTAGGACTGGCAGCACAAACTAAGTCAGAATCAGGGTCCGGACCGTCAACATGAGAGGACGTAGGAAGAGACGGTAGCGGAACTCGCAGTGGAACAGAGGAAGGACGAAGTGCCATAGTGTGAGTGCCGGGGACAGGGGGAGGATGCGGACGAGGAACACGCCGACCAGTGCGAGCAGCATGAACAGGCAAGGTAGGACGAGACGCAGGCTCACGACGAGCGCCACTTCGAAGGCGGGTGCGCCGAGCAAACCTCTCGCGCAGCTGAAGTGGAGAGAGAGGCTCCCGCCGTGACGAGGCACCCATAGGAACTCCAACAAACACAGTACCTCTAGGCTCAACACCCCGAGACTCAGAACCCCCAGGCTCCGCACGCGGCTCCGTGTGGACCGCTCGCGGAGCTGGAGACGGACAGTGCGGATCCAAAGGATCAAAACATCAGGGACCTCCCCATTGCTGCGCAAGGGGAAGACCGTGGTGTAACGCGTGTAGTCGTCAACAACCAGCAGAAAGTATCGCTCGCGGCCTTTTTCACGGACGCGGGCTGGGCCCCACGTGTCCATGTGAAGAATCTGCAGGGGAGCAGTCGTCAGGGGAAACGAGGAGGAGTGAGGAGCAGCGCGCTCCCGCCCCTCAACACAGGGAAGTCAGGGAGGGGCAAGCTAGGTGGGAGGGGAGGCAGAGACCTGGGAAGACTAGAGACAAGGAGGCAGGAGTGCATGCCACGGAGGCGTGGCAGGGAGGGGTGACCAAGGCGGTGGTGCCAAAGGAGAGTCACGCGGCATACACAGGTAACAGTCACCCTCAGCACTAACAGTGAAAGCATACATGGCAGCAAGGATAGCATCATACTCAAGAGCAAAGATATCCACATCCTGCCTAAGCAGCTTTAGCCTGCAGTGGAGCTCAGTCGCGTCGGGAAACTGTGCGCGCCAGGCGTCGTCAAGATGGGAAAAACAGCGGTACTGTGTGTGACCAACCTTCTCGCATGTCTGACCAGCACGGTCACCTGTGCGAATGACGTACTGGCAGCAAACACTACCCCTAGATGCCCCATGCTGAGCAAACCACTCACGAAGCTCCTGGGGCGTATAGGTCTCGCGCGAACGCTGCTACTGCCAGAACCTCCCCTCAGACCGGTTCCACCCTGACCGCCACCACTGCCGCCGCAACCACTCCCATTGCCGCCACCACTGTCGCCGCCACTGCCGTCGCCACCACTCCCACTGCCTCCACCACCGTCGCCACCAACGCCTCCACTCACACCACCACTCCCTCCGCCACCACCGCCACCTCCACCGCCTCCACTGCCTCCACCACCACCTCCACTGCTGCCACCCCCACCACCCTTGCCTCCCTTGTACTTGCCGCCATGGCGCCTCCCACTAGGAGCAGACGTAGCCCCGACCTCCTCCGCATGAAGGAAGTCAACAGCAGCAACAGAAGCGAAAGAGGGGGCAAGGGGGGAGGGGGAACAACCCTCAAAGAAGGGAGTGCAAGGAGTGCCACGAGCAGCACCTACAGCGACTATGCTAGCCTCATCTGCAAGGAGGTGCTTCTCGAGCAGGTCCACAGTGAGGTCTGTGGGGACCACGGCGTGAAAGAGGTCCCTGACTGCGCTAAGAGAGTTAGGGAGGCGGGTGATGATGAGGTAGAGGGCGATGTACATAGGGGGAGGAATCTTGTCTAGAAACTTGACGAGAAGCGCGGCGCGGTAGCGAGTGTCACTAGTGCGAAGGTGGGTGACGAGGTCGTCGACTGTGGCAAAGGCGGACAGCTCGGGAAAAAGTTAGGGCAGTATAAGGCGGCTGAGAGTAGCAGTGGCAGGGGAGGAGTAACGAGCGACTACAACATCATACAGTGCTTTAGCAGTCTTGTGCTAGCCAAAGTGAGCTCGTTCGGCTAACGGTAAGTGGTCGCGAATGGCTAGGCTAGCAGCAGCATCACGAGTAAGCCACTGTGAGTGAGTTGCACTGTCAGCTGTGTCGGGAGGGGCGAGAGAGGCTCCAGACGTGTGGTCAAACAACGAAATGCCGTCTCTAGAATCGCTCAGTAGGTACAGCTGTAAGTCATCGAGCCACATATCAAATTGGATCGGACGGCCCTCAGGATCGAATATGAGAACGCTGAGAGTAGCCATAGCGGGCAGAGCAAGGTTGCGCGCTTGCAACAGAGCAGCACGCAAGCAAAGACGGCACGACGGCCAGGGCGGCGCGCAAGCGCTAGGGAAGCGCGCAGGGCAGGGCGTGGCGGCACACGGCTAGGGCATGGCGGCACAACTGGCAGGGCAGGGCGGCAGCCAGCAGGGCGGCGCACACGCAGGGCAGGGCAGGGTGGCGGCCAGTAGGGCAGCACGCGAGCAGGGCAGGGCAGGGCGGCGGCCAGCAGGGGGCAGGGCAGGGCAGGGTGGCGACCAGCAGGGTGGCGCACGGGCAGGGTAGGGCTGGGCAGCGGCCAGCAGGGCGGCGCGCGGGCAGGGCGGGGCAGTGTGACGGCCAGCAGGGCAGCGTGCAGGCAGGGCAGAGCGGTGTGGCGGCCAGCAGGGCAGCGTGCAGGCAGGGCAGGGCGGTGCGGCGCTAGCAGGGCGGTGCGGCGCTAGCAGGGCACGCGCGGGCAGGGCAAGGCGGCGCTCGACCAGCAGGTCAGCGCGACAGGCAGGGGAGGGCGGCGCGGCGCTAGCAGGGCGGCGAGACGGGCAGGGCAGGGCAGCGCGGCGCTAGAAGGGCGGTGAGACAAACAGGGCAGAGCAGCGCGCGGCCAGCAGGGCAGAGCAGCGCGCGGCGAGCAGGGTGGCGTTCGGGCAGGAGAGGGCGGCGCGCGGGCTGAAAGGGCGGCGCGCGGGCTAAAAGGGCGGCGCGCAGGCATTGCAGGGCAGCGCGCAGCAAGCAGGGCAGCGTGACGGTCAGGGCAGGGCAGGGCAGCGCGACTAGTGGGGTAGGGCGCTACGGGCAGCTAACGAATCGGTGGGCCCTAAAAAAAAACGGTCCTGGAACAGGACTTGCTCTGAAACCATGTCAAGAAATTGAACTGGAATGAATGCATTGAGTAGGAAGTTGGTATAAGTACTAACCCTAATTGGGTTGCACCCCTTATGGGCTACCCCACTATAGCCTACACAACATAAACAACATAACTGTTTGACACGAGTTGCCCCTCGCTGGTCGACAGGAGCTATGGTCGAGCAGGAGTCATGCTCAACGAGAACCGGATGATGACGTCGACGGACATCGTTGGTCGACGAGCCCGTCAAAAGGTGCAGGTCGACGAGGCCCGACGAGGAGCACTAGTCAACGGGCTCTGCTTGCCGAGTTAGTTTTGGCGGACGCTGTTCGACCGAGCAACGTCGAACTCGTCGACGGAGGTTGCACAAGAGTGAAACGGCGGGTGTGTGAGTTTCGCCATCTGAAACGCTGG